TTCATGAATATCGAGCTAAAATGACGCTTAAAAAAACTTCGCAACCACCGAGCCAAACATCAAAGTGCAATGAAGGAGCTATAAAATACACAAATACACTATTCATTTTTGAATAAAGAATATTTGCTTGGATATACAATGGTACGTAAAGTACAGAAATGCATCATACAATTTTTAATCCAAAAAGAGTTAACAATTGTTACAACAAAAACATTGTACGGATATTTCTTTTTTCTTCTTTTGTTTTTTGTTTACTGTCTGAGTAGAATGCAACGCGCTCAAACTGTCATTCGCGAGTGCACGTGGGAAGGAAATAAATCTATGTACAGGGTGTCAAAAAAAAAAAAAAAAAAAAAAAAAAAAATTACACTTTTTTTTTTACCGCGAAAATAAACTAGGCATCGCCGAACGCTCATTCTCCGCCCAAAGGTATAGCGCTAGAGGTCACAACCAGATGCCAAATTTTCAGCCCGATCCGATAACTTAATCAGAAGTTATAAGTGATTTTCTGAAAATTTCAATAAGAAAATGGAGCTCATTTTTGCCACCCCCCTGGCTACGTGTTTGGCTCGACGTATACAGCACATTGACAGTGAATTGACGGCATTAAGTTTCACGAGCGGCTTTATAACCGAGTTGTGCAACTTATTAAAATAGCCAACGTACGTGTGACTGACTGCAATAAAAGTAATCGGGGTTTTCTTAGCCCTACTGAAAAACCTCAGTGTTTTATTTCTGCAGTCTTTGATACCTACTTAATCTGTTTAATATGTTATGATCGCACCGTGATCAAGCCTCTCGTAAAAGTTGCGGACGTCAGTCTGACGCCACTGCGTTGTACGTCAAACTGAAGTTTTAGGGTGTATTATGTATTATATGTGACAAAGGGTGTAACGACTACACCATTTTTTTCGTACAGCGTGGTCCTTACAGCCTCATCCTTTATATACTCAGAGAATGTGCTTCAAGTAAAGTACAAGTGTTCTAAACCTATATACTTGAACTGGTAAAGAGAGTTTCAGAGAAAATAGAGTCTTTTCGTCCTGTGTAAATAAACGACGCGTCGCGGGTGCTCAGACTCCGTGAGAACGTGACGCAAGCGGTTGGGATCAAATGCAAAAGTTTGAGAACATGACGTTGCCTGAATCCAAAAAGATAATTGAGAAAAAGGACTTTTTCAATGAGCCTCGGAGGTCCACCTAAACCTAATTTCGTAAAAACCAAAACAAAACAAAAAAGCATTCTGGGTATCTTTATCATCTATTTCAGGGAGACAAACTTGTCAGCAAGAAAGAAAGCAATGTACTCTTTCTTGCTGACTGTCTTTCATTGATATAAATTTCACGAGCGTTCACAATACCATTTATTTTTTTGGCTTAGGTGGGCGTTGGATCACCGAAAAATTTCATGTTTTTTTTTTTAATTCACATATTTATTTTTTAATTCAGACAACGTCATCTTCTCAAAACTTCGCGTTCTATCCCAGCCGCTTGACGTTCTTACGGAGTTCGAGCTTTCTGCGACGCGTAGTTCATTTATCCGGATCGAAAAACACGGTTCTCTTTTCTCGGGAACTCCCTGTACTTCAAGTACGATGTACTTAAAGTACTTCCTAACACTTGATTCTAGAGATGTTTTCTAACGTACCATACCAACTTGCCCAGCAATCAGCACTTGTCGAGGAAAAATAAAATGCAATGTGAGCGGACACATTGAACTTCCACATTGTCCCTGCTGCGCGCATCGCATTTTTCCGTCCGAACCTTATAGAGCGTCGCCATTGGCTGGGATCCTCCTATCGTTAGCCGTGATTAGCTGTCTCCGTGTCCAGCGGGACAGTGAACTCACAAACGGTTATTTTATTTATTTCTTCTTTTTTTTTTTGGGGGGGGGGGGGGGGGGAGGGGGGGGGAGGCGTACGTATCGGCAAAATAGCAGTAACGGCATCTTATGCAGCACTGGTAGACCCATCATCTCATTAGTACTGGGTGGCCAATAAGATGTCAGCAATTCCTCCAATAGCTTCCCTCTTCTCCCCCGCCCCCCCCCCCCCCCCAAAAAAAAAAAACAAGCACAAAAAAAACACACACACAAAGCAACAGCACCAACAACAAATTAGCTGACGAACCAATAGTAAAGTGGGACTGTGGACAATCATTATTAACGTGCATTAACGCAGGAAAGGGGTGAGGTGTGGCGGATCTATAATTGTACCTAATTATCACTGCGGTGCGGCGGTTAATGAATCGCCAAGTTGCCTCCCTGGAAACGGTGTGAAGCGCAATACGAAGTAAATGAAAAGTTAAGGCTTTGATTGGTTACACTCTTCGTTTTTTTTTATTGGTCATGATAAGGTATACAATTTTAATGGTTGCGGTTAATGAACGTCATAGTAAAGGCTGTTTTGGGTGCTGACTTAACTAAACCCCCATTTCGGTCTTTCGTTGTACTGGAAAGCATTTTCTTAAATATTCGCTATTACAGATCTAAAAAAAAAAAAGAGTCTGTCCGCATTAAGAACAGGTTAATAAAAAGCGACACTGAGCTTCGAAAAAAAAAAATCTATTTCTTAAGCCTTTCGGTAGGTCAC